TCTTCTTCTTCTTCTTCTTCTTCTTCTTCTTCTTCTTCTTCCACTTCTTCTACTTCTTCTATTTCTTCAGTCTTCTTCAAACCGCAATAATTCAGTCCACAAGGTTCAAAATTTAGTTGCATTTGTCTTGTTGTCGGGTTCTTGTTTCTCCTCTTTTTTCGGTTGGCTTTTACCTGAAGTGAACTGTTTGTCCATGGACTTACACAGGGACATTCTTCGTAATAAGTATGTATATCCACCTCGGTATTCCGAGTCAAAGAAGGCTAACAAGCATGGATTGACTGCGCTATTGCTATGTGCCAAAAGATACGTAAAAAAAGACAAATGACATGGGAGATCCGAAGATCCATGTATTGGGATAGCGATAAAATACAACAACCAGCACAGCACAAATGCAATAGCTATTGAAATTAACATCTCAATGAGCCTCTTTCCTGCTTTCTGCCTTGCTTTTGTAGCTTCTTCGTTATTCCCTGGAGACTTCTGCCGGCAAAGTTTCCCGATCATGATCAGGTACAGAATTACTATCAAAACTAAGCATATAATGTAGAGAACGATAAAGAAACCTCTGTAAAGTGTTGCCAAGCGCTGGCCAAAGAGATTGGAAAATCCTGACGAACAGATTCTTAATGGCGGCTTTCCTTCGCTGGAGAAACGCACGTTCGGGCTGATCAAGAATGGCGAGCGAAGAATACCAGCCAAGATCCAAATAAGAACCAGACTTGTGATAGCAACACGCCTTGTCGTGATTCTCTTAAGCGGATACATGACGGCGCAGAACCTATCAAAGGCTGTGCCAAATAAGGAAAAGATAGAAGCAAGTATTGAAGCGTGGTGTAGAAATGAAACCATACGGCAAAGTACAAGACCAGGAACTCCTTCCACGAGCCATTCAAAGCCGTAGAAAAACCGGACCATCGTACGAGGCATGTACACGACCGTAATGACCAAATCAGCGATGGCCATGTTCATTAAATACAAATGTACAAACTTTCGCTTCCTAGAGGTTCTTTGAACTGTTATCACAGTTATTAAGTTCCCCATGAGTGAGACTAGGAAGATAACGATGTACACCATCACACGGGCTGATTTCAAAGTCAAAGGCTCGCCAGCAAAACAAATCGGAGGGTTAACAGATGTTGAGTTTAAAAACGAATGATTCCCATTCGGGATCTGCTCCCGAGCAGCGTCCATCGTGAAAGTTATTCACAGTAAGTGATTCATCGCTTTAATTGTCGGTTTTATGAATTGATATTTGAAAGTGAAATTCATTTGCATAGGAAATTTATTATATTTTTCAATGGAAAAAAATTCAAATAAGAAGATTTACAATTAATGAACATAATGAACAGAGGTGCACATTTTTCCCACCAGGATTCAAGACAAGGTTCAGTTACAAGAAAAAAGCTGATGGACGAGATGAATAAGGATTCAAAAGTGAGGCAAGAAAAGACGGCGAAGACGCATCTCGTAGTAAGAAGGGGGGAAAAGTTAACTGCGATATAAAAAGGTTAATTAAAAAATATGGATTTTATCCCATCAAGACCTTATCATTGTCACAAAACAATATTTTTTCCTACAAATCCCATCTGGAGCTCAGAATTTCTCTTAGCTCTTTAGTTTCATATGGCTGTCATTTTTGTGCACATTTTCCTCACCAGGGGTCAAGACAGGGTTGAATTCCAAGGAAAAAACTTGTGGTCGATATGAATAATGATTTAAAAGTAAGAAAAAGAAGAAAACGCACCTGGTACAGGAAAAAGAGAAAAAAAAGTTAACTACGCAATAAAAATATTCATAAAAAGTTGAATTTTATCCCATCAAGACCTTGTCACCAGTTATTAATATTTTATCCCAAAAATCCCATCTGGAGTTTAGAAATTTTCTGTGCTCTTATATCACATGGTTGTCATGAATAATTTCATTTCATAAGGCTTTCGACAACTGGTCACCAGCAGCAGAGAAGAAAATAAATCATTTTTAACAACAACAACAACAACAACAACAACAACAACAACAACAACAACAACAACAATTAGGTGTTTCTTTTTAGGTACGACCTTAATATTATTATAAATTTGATAACCGAGCATCGTTCCAAAGATTGTACCCTGATGATGGCCGCTTAGCCCGAAAGCTCGGTTACTAAATTTATAATGATTTTAAAGTGCACCTACTACCTATTTTTTCCGATCTGGAGTAAAGCTGTAAGTCACAAAAAGCAGCTCTTTGAAGAAAAATTTTTAGATTAATCAAAACGGTAAGTTTTTGGTGCTCTGTCAAAGATTGGAAAATATACCATTTTAGCCGAAGTAAGTGGACCATGGCCGTAATTACAGAGGAGTTTGGGTCGAGCGACGTGTGACGTCACCACAGACCAACACAACCACAGATTACCACAGATTTTTATCAAATTTCTTAATATACATGTTTTATTTCCAAACACTAATGGTGTCCTTCGTATCACTCAGAGGTACCATCGTTTCCTTCTGGCAAATATTCTCCTGAATCGGACTGCTCAGAACAGTCAAAACATTCGTCCTCAACATAGTATTCATCTTGTAAGTCACAAGATGTCTCAGACTCATCAGAGTCCATCTTCACGAATTTGTCTTCAACAAGCTTTTTTGTCTTTCAAAAGTACTCGATTTGTTTACTAACTTTCAGGCACCAAGCAACAAGTCATGGCATGCGGTGACGTCACACTCGGACCTAGCTACTCATCTATTATAACAACAACAAAGAAAATTATTTACAGTGTTCGAACATCAAAATGCATTTTCAAATGCGCATTGCGATAAAATTTTATAAATCCAAAAAAAAACTAGCCTTTGAACTTGTAAGAAAGAAATAGTAAAACATTTTTTAAACTTCTTGTATATTCACTTGTGTAAAAATATTAAATACACGTTTGAAGTTTTTGAAGTTTTTCTTAAATTTCTTATGTTTTTCTTTGAATTTCCTAAAAGAACAGATGACGAAAGGCAATCTTTTGTCGAAGTTTGAAATAAAAAAAGGAATTATTTCAACTTATACAAAAAGCGTGAATGTGTTTGTCGATACAGGTAAGTTAGGTAAATTAATAGGTAAGATAGGAAGAAATTTCACGCGCGTTTGTCAAAATAAAGGATTTTGTCAAACACAAGTGACATCTATCCTTAATTCCACAAATTCAATTTTGTAAAGGACAACGTGCCGCAGTGAATCGTGATAACAAAAGCTTATTTTTATTTCAGTCGGTTGAACTTAGCAGTGAAGATGAACAGGCTTTTTCCTCTTAAGATATTTTAGTGTTTTAAAGTTATCCTGATTTTTGTAAATGACTTAACCTTACAAAAGTTTTAGCTTCGACCGTTAACTCTTTCCTTAACAGCAAGCATTCCCAAGAGAGTTGGGATGCTAACAAGGGATGCTTATGAGAAATATTTTCAAAACAACAAATAGACGGCCAATTTGATACCAACGCTCCCCCGAGAGGCCTCGATGACGTAACGTGCAATCGAATAATTCGGTCAAAATTATCGATCCATCTTTTGACGTAAACAAAGTCTAGAATAATTTATCATATCGTTACGATGTGGACGTGCCTCAAAAAAAACCTTATTAAATATCTATGCGAAAGCCAAAACGATTTCTTGGCAAAACTACTCCAAGACAGAGCGGGAACGTGTGAGAAGTTTAGTTATGGAGCGGCTAATTAATTAATAAGTATGTCTATAAGTCACCTGCCATGCATATCATTCAAATAGATTCAGATAAATCATTAAGAAAAGCAGAGTTTTTTTAATAAAATCAGGTCCAAAAAAAGTTGTCTGTTTTCTTTATACGTTAATTTTCTTTCACTCTATTTCTCTCGTATTCCTCACTCCCCCCGACCCTCTTTTTATCATTATTTCCTTTTCATTTCTGCTTTTTAACACAATAAACTTCACCGAGCTTAATTACTTCTGTCAGACAACAGACAGATCCTAATATCTAGACGCCTTTACTAACAGCATTATTACTGTTTATTACTATACAATCTCGTACCCAGAGCCTGCCTCTCTTTTGGCTTGCGGCGAAGAACGAGGGCTCTAGAATAATCCTTTTTTTCTGGGTACGAGATTGATTCCCATACAACTCCATTTGGAATTGATACCTTCATTTTCTTCGTTCCTTTTTCGAATAATTTTATATAATAAATGAGAAGGTTGTATATGTTCCATGTAGAAAAACAGTAAGTAATTAAGACTCTCGAAATTTGTGTTTTGTTCGGGAAGTACTAGGAAATATTAGCTACAAAAAAAAAATGATTGCAGGAAATCAAATCGAATGGTTTGGAAAACAAGGAAAATCTAGGAGACAAATGACTTTCTGTCTGTTAAATAACTATACAAGAAAAAATAGTAAAGAAGATTTCGGAATATATAACTGTGTAATTTACAGACTTGATATATYAATAGTAATATAATGATACACCTATTTCATTGAACGTTGTTATTCCCAAAGGCGATAGTCAATAGGCGATAGGCGAAGAGCAATTAGGTCATTCCAAGATCCAAGAATAGCTGGAATGACTTGTGTTTCTGCTTCTTATTCTCGTCAAGAACATGGACCTTAGTGTTGAGACTGATTCAATGTTCTTTGTATTCAACAAAACCATTTCCATGTCGGAATAACCTATCGCCTATCGCTTTTGGCAATGAAAACGTTTATTGAAATAGGTGTATATTTAAGGCGTCCATAATTCCTGCACCTGGCTGTATGTGTGTCTTTTTTAAAAGTTGATAAGGTTGAATCCTCGAAGGCAAGACCGAACGGTGTTCTGGGTATACATATTGCAGTTTTGCAGCTCTCAAAGATGGATAGTTTCGGTACTGAACAAAGCCAAACAATACCAACGGTTAAATTACAATAAACAAGAAAAAAGCACTTAATATCGTTGTTGTTTGCAAGTAACTGTTATTGTTCGGACAAACACAGTGTTAAAGGCCATTTCTGTAAAGAAAATTCATGTTCGATGTCAGTTTATGGTTCTGTTTTAGTTATAAAGCAAAAGGCACAATTTCGTGCAAGTTATGAAATAAATATACAATACTTTGTTTTTAGTTAATATTCTTTCTGTCATCGCCCTATAAAACAGTGCTTGACTGACTAAACAGTTCAAGAAATAGCGGCAAGTTTATTTTGAATTAGTGCATAAAATAACTATTCTTCTACTAAATTCTTATCATACAATTCCTTACTTCAATAATATACACTTATTTCAATAAAGTTAGTCACCTGAAAAGCTATAAAGCTGAGGCCTACAAGGAGTATATGGGTAGATTCATTTTACACGTTCAACCGCTTGATAACTGTTCATGGACTTGCGAATCTTTTACCGGTTACAGTCTCACCTCTTCTGAGCATCATCGAGCTGCAGTTTGTATTAAAAAAGCTTTGTATATATATGCTTTTTTGATATGAAAAGTTTCCCATGATACTCAGTGATCTCAGCTTTCTAGGTTTTTGGTGACTAACGTTATTGAAATAAGTGTATTACATATGTGCCATGACTCGTATAACCGAACTGATGGCGGGCCGACATACTAAATACAGATGATCAATAGTATCGAGTTTAAAATCCTGCTGTTAACTTATAAAGTCATCAATCGCCTTGTTACTAATTATTCATCTGCCTTGCTCCAACCTTACAAGCAGAAGCGCAATCTGAGGTCCAACGATAAACAACTGCTAGTTGTTCCTGCCTCAAAAACATCAATTTTTGGCAGCAGAGCCTTTTCTATATGCGCTCCAAATTTGTGTGGGACGAAATCCCTCTGGATATAAAGATATCAATATCTGTTGACATTTTTAAGAAGAAACTTAAGACATTTTTATTTAATTCTTAGATTACGTTTTGTTTTTTTGTTTTCTGTTGTTTTTT